CGCAAGCACTTACGAACCTGGGGCCAGATTCACGAAAGCACTTACGAACCTGGGGCCAGATTCACGAAAGCACTTACGAACCTGGGACCAGATTCACGCAAGCACTTACGAACCTGGGGCCAGATTCACGAAAGCACTTACGAACCTGGGGCCAGATTCACGAAAGCACTTACGAACCTGGGGCCAGATTCACAAAAGCACTTACGAACCTGGGGCCAGATTCACGAAAGCACTTACGAACCTGGGGCCAGATTCACGAAAGCACTTACGAACCTGGGGCCAAATTCACGAAAGCCATTACGAACCTGGGGCCAGATTCACGAAGCAGTTACGCAAGCACTTACGAACCTGTCCATCTTTTCTCAATCTTTGGCGGCTTTGTTTACAATTATTAAACAGTTAATGAGCTCGGAAGCACCAGGAGGCTGTTTATAACAATAACAACAGTTGATTGGCAAGTTTTCATGCTTATAAACTGTTTAATAAATGTAACCAAAGCCGTCAAAGATTGAGGAAAGATGTTCACGTTCGTAGGTGCTTGCGTAACTACTTCGTGAATCTGGCCCCAGGTTCGTAAGTGCTTGCGTAACTGCTTCGTGAATCTGGCCCCAAGGGATTTGCCAACGAACATTGCATATTCCACAAAGTTTCTACCCATTACAAAACCAAGTCTGCCTCTCAATAAATGAGTTTGGGTATCCGTAATTAATCACAGTTAATCCGTTATCATAAACATATTAGATAAATTTGCATCCATTATCGCTGTTAGTAATGTCTCCCAGCGTAATATGTCTAGCATTAAAATCTCCCATGTATATTGTCCCATGATTGTCTAGATCCGGGAGTTTTTTTTAGTTTAGTTCATTTATTATGCACCCCATACCCATCCCGTAGGCGGTAGTGGAAAGGGTTACAGAGGCACATAATGGGCTCAGGGACTGAACCCCACAATTCATTTAGCTAAGCAGCTAACTAGCTAACTAGATCCGGGAACGATGCTACATTGAGTTTCTGGCTTGTGGCATATACTTTGAGGAATGAGAAGTGACCAACTGCAGTCTGTACATGAAAGTGATGGTACTGTGTGTGTACATTGTGTGATGTGCTCACAAGAATGTGCAGTAAATCACTTCTGACGTACGTTAATAAGCCTGTGGCGTTACTTTTAGTATAAGATGCATACCCTCTGATCTTTGACGGGGTTTTGTTTATCATGTTGGAGGTGTAGGGCTCCTGTATAGCAATTATATCTTATGTTGTTACTGGTAACATGTGCAATTAGGTCATTCAGTCTTTTGTTGATGCTACGAATGTTCCAATTGAGACACCAAATGGTTCTTGTGTCAACAGCAGCCATTATAGTGGTGTTGTTCCTCCCTGGGACTGGTGGTCCCATTGTGGTCCTTGTCCCACTTATACAATGTGTTAATAAGTGACTATACGACATAAATAGCTGCTCCAACCTGGGGCCAGATTCACGAAGTATTTACGCAAGCACTTACGAACCTGGGACCAGATTCACGAAGAAATTACGCAAGCACTTACGGTCCTGGTGGCAGATTCACGAAGTATTTACGCAAGCACTTACGAACCTGGGACCAGATTCACGAAGTATTTACGCAAGCACTTACGGACCTGGGGCCAGATTCACGAAGCAGTTACGCAAGCACTTACGTACGTGTACATCTTTCCTCAATCATTGACGGCTTTGGTTACATTTATTAAACAGTTTACAAGCATGAAAACTTGCCAATCAACTGTTGTTATTGTTATAAACAGCCTCCTGGTGCTTCCGAGCTCATTAACTGTTTAATAATTGTAAACAAAGCCGCCAAAGATTGAGGGAAGATGTACATGTTCGTAAGTACTTGCGTAACTGCTTCGTGAATCTGGCCCCAGGTTCGTAAGTCCTTGCGTAACTGCTTCGTGAATCTGGCCCCAGGTTCGTTAGTCCTTGCGTAACTGCTCCGTGAATCTGGCCCCAGGTTCGTAAGTGCTTGCGCAACTGCTTCGTGAATCTGCCCCCAGGTTCGTAACAGCTTCGTGAATCTGGCTCCTGGTTTCTGGTCTCGTGAGAGATGAATAGTGATGTTATCAGTCTCTTGATCACTGTGGAACTCGCGATGGTCCGTTATCTTGAGGTTATCTTGAGATGATTTCGGGCTTTTTAGTGTCCCCGCGGCCCGGTCCTCGACCAGGCCTCCACCCCCAGGAAGCAGCCCGTGACAGCTGACTAACACCCAGGTACCTATTTTACTGCTAGGTAACAGGGGGGCATAGGGTGAAAGAAACTCTGCCCATTGTTTCTCCCCGGTGCCTGGGATCGACCCCAGGACCACAGGATCACAAGTCCAGCGTGCTGTCCGCTCGGCCGACCGGCTCCCTTGAGCGAATGTCGAGTACAATTATTATTGACAGACAATTGTATTTTCATTATGGAGGTCGACTTGAATTTGTTCGTTGTCAGTTTCAATATTTATCCTGGTGAGCCGATTTAATTTTCCAGTTACTAATTGTGTTTCACAGTCACTGCTGTCGTCAGGGATTTGACTGACAAGGGCGTCGACACAGTCTCTGTCACTACTAGCTACGGCTGTGTGACGCAGCTGTCTGACACACACACACACACACACACACACACACATATATATATATATATATATATATATATATATATATATATATATATATATATATATATATATATATATATATATATATATATGTTTCATTGAATATGACCGCATATTCTGTATTTATTATTTTCTGGTTTAGGGCTTCTATCCCTCTAACTATTTTCTTAGCATCAGGGCTTAATTGAAATTAAGCCCTGATGCTAAGAAAATAGTTAGAGGGATAGAAGCCCTAAACCAGAAAATAATAAATACAGAATATGCGGTCATATTCAATGAAACATGTTTGAAAGAAAACCTGCTGCCAGTATACACCAATATATATATATATATATATATATATATATATATATATATATATATATATATATATATATATATATATATATATATATATATATAGTCGCAATGGCTTGGCACTTTCTCCTTGATAGTTCCCTTCTCTTCCTAGAGTATATATATATATATATATATATATATATATATATATATATATATATATATATATATATATATATATATATACCTCCGGACCTCTGAAGGAACTGAGACAAAGTCTGTCTCTGTTTCTCTCTCTCTGTTTCTCTCTCTCTCTCTCTCTCTCTCTCTCTCTCTCTCTCTCTCTCTCTCTCTCTCTCTCTCTCTCTCTCTCTCTGTCTCTCTCTCTCTCTCTCTCTCTCTCTCTCTCTCTCTCTCTCTCTCTCTCTCTCTCTCTCTCTCTCTCTCTCTCTCTCTCTCTCTCTCTCTCTCTCTCTCTCTCTCTCTCTCTCTCTCTCTCTCTCTCTCTCTCTCTCTCTCTCTCTCTCTCTCTCTCTCTCTCTCTCTCTCTCTCTCTCTCTCTCTCTCTCTCTCTCTCTCTCTCTCTCTCTCTCTCTCTCTCTCTCTCTCTCTCTCTCTCTCTCTCTCTCTCTCTCTCTCTCTCTCTCTCTCTCTCTGACAATTTTTATTAATATTGTGAAGTGAACATGAGGTTTATTCCTTCCAGGACGATCTTGTAAAGTCGTCCTGTCAAGGTAAAACAAGGAGCTTTCTCTGCTAATGGGAGTTCTTCCTGGACTTAAACACTTCTTCTCTCCTTCTAAGAGCTCTAAGACTCCTCCATCCTCTGTGTTTCAGTGTCTGGAGAAGCTCTTACTATGGAGGACTTTTCTTTAGCTGTTCTCGCGTGTAATGGCAAACATGGTTTGGTTTCTGTGTGTATTTTCACAATATTTTTCGTATCTCATTGTGTGGGGGGGGGGGGGGCTTTAGCTCTTTGGTTTCGCCTCTCTGTATCCCAAAGAAACTTGATCTTGGCATTTGGGGCGTGTTCTAGCACAGGCCTCACACCCCAGAGCTCCTCAGATGCTTAGATAAATTGGATAAGTTTAGATTTAGGAAAGACTTGGGTAAATACTGGTTCAGTAACAGGGTTGTTGATACTGGTGTACTGGTTCCTTTGCTATTGGGCTCTCTCATATCTATATTGAAATTGTTTGAAGTCTTCCTTTACCGGGAGTCTTCTCGGGAGCCGGTCGGCCGAGCGGACAGCACGCTGGACTTGTGATCCTGTGGTAATGGGTTCGATCCCAGGCGCCGGCGAGAAACAATGGGCAGAGTTTCTTTCACCCTATACCCCTGTTACCTAGCAGTAAAATAGGTACCTGGGTGTTAGTCAGCTGTCACGGGCTGCTTCCTGGGGGTGGAGGCCTGGTCGAGGACCGGGCCGCGGGGACACTGAAAGCCCCGAAATCATCTCAAGATAACCTCAAGATATACCACTTAGTTCTTGTGTATTCCACTTGTTCACTTCTCTGACACAAAAGCAGTTCTTTCTAATGACTCTGTGGTTCATTAGGGTACTCAGTTGACACCTGTGTCTCCTTGTGCTTGTACCACGCGTTCTAATTAGTCTCCTTTTCTACCTTTCTCAATTTCTCCTGAGAATTTCTTACGTGGTGATCATGTCCTCCCTAACTCTCTTATCTATTAATGATAAAATGTGTAATTCCTGCAGCCTTTCTTTGTAACATGTACCTTTCAGTTCTGGGACCTGTCCGGTAGCATACCTTTGAAGTTTCTTCAACTTCGCCTTGTGTTTGACTAGATATGAACTGCACACTTGAGCTGCATATTTCAGGACTGGTCTGACGGTTGTTGTATACAAGGTCCTAAATGATTCCTTGTTTCCGAAGGGAGTTCTTACAGCGGATTCCATCTACCATTTAGTGTCTTGTATCCAGCTTCATGTTCCTATAACTTGTTTCACTACCTTGCACTTACGTTTAACTCTAATAGCCATTTGATCGATAATTTTTCTCGATTTGCCCTAGTTATCTTGTCCTCTGTTATATCTTATTCTAACTCTAATTTTTTTTTTTTGCGTAGACAGTAAACATTGTGAGGAATGAGTCTTATTTCCACCGGAAGATCACTTACGTACGCTTCTACGTACGCTTTTACGTACGCTTCTACGTATGCTTTTCCGTACGCTTCTACGTACGCTTCTACGTACGCTTCTACGCACGCTTCTACGCACGCTTCTACGCACGCTTCTACGCACGCTTCTACGCACGCTTCTACGTACGCTTCTACGTACGCTTCTACGTACGCTTCTACATACGCTTCTACGCACGCTTCTACGTACGCTTCTACGTACGCTTCTACGCACGCTTCTACGCACGCTTCTACGCACGCTTCTACGCACGCTTCTACGCACGCTTCTACGTACGCTTCTACGTACGCTTCTACGTACGCTTCAACGTATGCTTTTCCGTACGCTTCTACGTACGCTTCTACGTACGCTTCTACGCACGCTTCTACGCACGCTTCTACGCACGCTTCTACGCACGCTTCTATGCACGCTTCTACGTACGCTTCTACGTACGCTTCTACGTACGCTTCTACGTACGCTTCTACGCACGCTTCTACGTACGCTTCTACGCACGCTTCTACGCACGCTTCTACGTACGCTTCTACGTACGCTTCTACGTACGCTTCTACGTACGCTTCTACGTACGCTTTTACGTACGCTTCTACGTACGCTTCTACGCACGCTTCTACGTACGCTTCTACGTACGCTTCTACATACGCTTCTACCTACGCTTCTACTTACGCTTCTACGTACGCTTTTCCGTACGCTTTTTTGAGCGTATAACCGCAGCTTGTGTCATGTATCATCATCCGTGCCTGGTGAGGACAGCTTGGTGAGATGTGTGGGACGTGGGGCGACACTTGGAGTAAATCCTTCATGAGTTATACCGGAGAGATGCCCGACAAGAGACTGAAATATGGCAAGCTGAAGGAGCACTCTTGCCAAGTGGTCTATATAGCCTTATATGTGATATATTTCATGTTTTATAGCTAAGTTTCTGTTATGTAAAGATGGGGAACAAGGTCTTGGGGAGTTCTTGAGTAAGAAGGAATTTTTTGAGGTTATTGTTTAGAGAGATCGTGTGTGTGTGTGTGAGGGTGTGTGTGTGTGTGTGTGTGTGTGTGTGTGTGTGTGTGTGTGTGTGTGTGTGTGTGTGTGTGTGTGTGTGTGTGTGTGTGGGTGTGTGTGTGTGTGTGTGTGTGTGTGTGTGTGTGTGTGTGTGTGTGTGTGTACTCACCTATTTGTGTTTGCGGGGGTTGAGCTTTGGCTCTTTGGTCCCGCCTCTCAACCGTCAATCAACAGGTATACAGGTTCCTGAGCCTACTGGGCTCTATCATATCTACACTTGAAACTGTGTATGGAGTCAGCCTCCACCACATTACTGCTTAATACATTCCATCCGTTAACTACTCTGACACTGAAAAAGTTCCTTCTAACGTCCCTGTGGCTCATGTGGGTACTAAGTTTCCACCTGTGTCCCCTTGTTCGCGTCCCACCAGTGTTGAATAGTTTATCCTTGTCTACCCGGTCGATTCCCCGGAGGATTTTGTAGGTAGTGATCATGTGTGTGTGTGTGTAAAGCTAGAATTTATTCATTTTATTTGGCTTACTGTCAACAATGTTATGCAATCTATTAATACAATATCGTAGCAGTGTATGTCTATTTTTATAAATACAATTTATTCATCTATTCGTAAGGAGACAAAATTTGTATTCTCCCTATTATATTATTTTTGCCCAATACAGAATCAATTATGTATTCTTAAACTGGGGCCAAATTCACGAAAGCAGTTACGCAAGCACTTACGAACCTGGGGCCGGATTCACGAAGCAGTTACGCAAGCACTTACGAACGTGTACATCTTTCCTCAATCTTTGACAGCTTTGGTTACATTTATTAAACAGTTTACAAGCACGAAAACTTGCCAATCAACTGTTGTTATTGTTATAAACAGCCTCCTGGTGCTTCCGAGCTCATTAACTGTTTAATAATTGTAAACAAAGCCGCCAAAGATTGAGAAAAGATGGACAGGTTCGTAAGTGCTTGCGTAACTGCTTCGTGAATCTGGTCCCTGGAATTTATTTGAAGATTTTCATTCCAAGATAAAATTGTTGCAACTGTGCTTTTATTTTTTACTGAAATAGGAATTTTGAATGTGTGTGTAGTGACTTAGTCTTTAAATAACATTTCATCATAGAAGCTTTCCTGACATACACATAGTTACATGTTGTTGTTGTTTTTGATTCAGCTACTGGGAACCAAAAGTTTCAAAGTAGCACGGGCTATGGTGATCCCGTAGTGGACTTACCTGGCACAGGAGCGGCGCTGTAACTGGTGTAGTTACATAGTACTGTACATTTATATATATATATATATATATATATATATATATATATATATATATATATATATATATATATATATATATATATATAGCACGGGTTGGAGAGGGGGCTACTGGGGGGGTATGTATTACCAGATGTCACTTAAACCTACTTAAACTCACTTAAATGCCCTTTACACTTGAGTGCACAACGACCCGATCTGTCACAGCTGAAGCACTTGAGCACGTGATCCATGTGAATGACTTCCATCAACTCCAGGCCCACTTGCCTGACGTCTATAGTTCGATCCCTCGCAAGTACCCCCAGCAGGCTGCTGGTTGTGCGTTCCCCCCTCCTTCGGCTGTCCCCTGGCACCAGCTTATACATGTCGGCTTGTTTGGCCATTAGACGTGTTCGAAAGATTCCTTTGTTTACCTTTTGAGACAAGGAGGGAGAGACGACCCTATACACACTACCAAGAAATGTTTGAAGAATCATCAATTCGCAGAACACCGCCATATGTTCCCTGTAGCAGCGTCTATAAGCTCATAGTAACGATTGAATCACCTTGCTTACCACTGCTGATCGCTGGCCAATCAGCGATCGAGTATTCTGCCAGACGTCGTAACCATATTGGGTCGCAATTGGCTCATCCAACCTGACATATAGGTCATGACGTCACAGCTAAGTCACCAATCCAGAGTTGATCGAAGAGGATGACCCTGATCCACTAATCTATTGCGGTTTGCCTGGGGTAGAATACTCCCTCCAGCACCCTAACATTAGCTTCTAACAATGGAAATGCTCTAATTACCCCCATCTTCTTAATGACTAGCCACGTAACGACCCTCGTAGCATCTTTATGCTGCCTCTTAAGACATAACAAATAAGGAAGGTTTTAGTCCAGTATTAAGAGAGTGAGATCTCTCGAGCTCTTTGAGTGCACGTGGTCTTTGAGTGCACGTGGTCTTTGAGTGCACGTGGTCTTTGAGTGCACGTGGTCTTTGAGTGCACGGGGGGGGGGGGGTAGATTTCTCGACTTGAGTGCACGTACTCTGTGAGAGACCATTCATTCATAAGATACATGCAAGTAGATGATGGGATGTAGATGATGTGCATGCAAGTAGACACGCAGGTAGATGATGTGCATGCAAGTATACACGCAGGTAGATGAGGTAGATATGCAAGTAGATAGGTAGATAAGGTCAGTAACGTGCCAAGGTTGTAAAGTTAAGGCGAACGAGCACAGATATCAAATCATTATTTCGTGTTCAAAATCAAAACATCTATTTATCTATTGCTTATCTCAATAGCCAACTATCTATCAACAGAGAGCAAAGGTAAACCCAGACAATCTATCCTCGCCTATTCTAGAACGAATGCCGGACTTGTACTCACCTAGTTGTGCTTGCCGAAGGGGGTTGAGCTTTGGCTCTTTGGTCCCGCCTCACAATTTAATCCCGCCTCCTTCCTGCAGTTATGCGTTTCAGTCGACCAAACGAGCAGTCAGCAACTGCCCTAGTTATTGGTAAGATCAGGAGACATCTTACCAATAATAAGATTGGTACCTGTAAGATTGGTACCACATTTTACCTGTAAGATCAGGTACAGTGTGGATAACTAAGAAAAGCATTACTAAGTTCATCTGGTAACATAATCTGGTATTGGATAAGGTACAGATAAGTAGAGAAGTAGTTGAGGTTCATACAGATAGATTGGGAGGTAGATGAGGGGTAGATATAAATAGAGGTAGATGGACTAGATATAATCTACCTTGCCAACAACTATTAAACCCTTGCTGAAAGGTCAGGAGAGTTATGAAGCTACTCAACTCTTTTCAGCTGGTGTTGAAGTGAGGTTTCTGCCCCCACACCTGTCGCCCCAGGTGTGTGGCTCCTGCCCCTACACCTGTAGCTTCAGGTGTGTGGCTCCTGCCCCTACACCTGTAGCTCCAGGTGTGTGGCTCCTGCCCCTACACCTGTAGCTCCAGGTGTGTGGCTCCTGCCCCCACACCTGTAGCTCCAGGTGTGTGGCTCCTGCCCCTACACCTGTAGCCCTAGGTGTGTGGCTCCTGCCCCTACACCTGTAGCCCCAGGTGTGTGGCTCCTGCCCCTACACCTGTAGCTCCAGGTGTGTGGCTCCTGCCCCTACACCTGTAGCCCTAGGTGTGTGGCTCCTGCCCCTACACCTGTAGCCCTAGGTGTGTGGCTCCTGCCCCTACACCTGTAGCCCTAGGTGTGTGGCTCCTGCCCCTACACCTGAGCCCTAGGTGTGTGGCTCCTGCCCCTACACCTGTAGCCCTAGGTGTGTGGCTCCTGCCCCTACACCTGAGCCCTAGGTGTGTGGCTCCTGCCCCTACACCTGAGCCCTAGGTGTGTGGCTCCTGCCCCTACACCTGAGCCCTAGGTGTGTGGCTCCTGCCCCTACACCTGTAGCCCTAGGTGTGTGGCTCCTGCCCCTACACCTGAGCCCTAGGTGTGTGGCTCCTGCCCCTACACCTGAGCCCTAGGTGTGTGGCTCCTGCCCCTACACCTGAGCCCTAGGTGTGTGGCTCCTGCCCCTACACCTGTAGCCCTAGATGTGTGGCTCCTGCCCCTACACCTGTAGCCCTAGGTGTGTGGCTCCTGCCCCCACACCTGTAGCCCCAGGTGTGGGGGCTACAGGTGTGGGGGCTGATGTTAATCACCTTTCTAGGCGTCTGAAATGATGATGTCGTAATTATTTTTGATTTGTTCTGTCTGTCGTCATTCACTTGGGTGTCACGCTGTCGGTCTGTCGGTTTGTCGTCCAGAGAGATGTCTCTCTCTATCGTTTATCGTCCGATATTTATCGTATATTTATTTATCGTCCGTTTATCGTTCTCTATCGTTTATCGATGTCGCGTCAAACTGCTATTGGTCGCTAGGAAGCCTTTCAAATGGGAGGGTAAAAGGTGGGAAGGACGTGGAGGGAAGGAAGGTAGGACATGAGATGGGTAAAGGTAGGAAGGGAACAAGAGTAAAGGGTGGAACAGTAACAATATAGAGTGGGAAGGGGAGTCTCGTGGAACAGAAATCCAGCAAGAATTGCATTATATATCAGTGGTTTTTCTACACTGGGTTATTGATTTTTTGTCCCCCTGCGTGTGTGTGCGTGTGTGTGTGTGTGTGTGTGTGTGCGTGCGTTCGTATGGACCCCTTGGGGGTAGGGGATGGGGGATAGAGGATAAGGTGCCGATTCTATCCCTCCTGGTTACCCCCCATACGTCGAGCCCTGGCCCCCGAGTAACGGAAGCGACATGACCACCACTGCACAAGTGAGTTGCAGAGCAGCGACTTGAGCCAGCTGTCTAAGGACCAGCTGTGTGTAGAGTTGAAGGAGCAGGTGGTAACGGTAAATATTAGTTGGCAACGCGAGGTAACGCAGGGGTCTGGCCCACACACACACGGCGGAGGGTATTGGGCATCAATCGCTTGAAACCATCTATTTTAAAAGTTCAGAAACTCCTATTTACTCAATTGCTTCGTTAAGA